AAGCCGACCGCAGCGTGGGGGCAGCGCTCCCGGGGTTGAAGCCGACCGCAGCGTGGGGGCAGCGCTCCCGGGGTTTAAGCCGACCGCAGTGTGGGGGCAGGGCTCCCGGGGCCGGAGCCAACTGGAGCCGACCGCAGCGTTACAACATTTATTAAACTGCGAGTACTGTGGACCAGAGCTGCTTTTAAATCTCCAGGGCTGAGTCCCTCTGTCACGTGTCAGCGATATCATCTGTAGCCCATGACAGGGCTCACAGGAGTGATGCAGGGACACAGGGGGGCCATCAAGCCTGCCTGCCAGCTCGTGCTTCACATCCTGCAGCTTCTGCCACTTGATGGGCAAACTCTTAGGTCATAGTCCTTGCAACATCGAGCCGTTTGTTTGTTTGTTTGCCTGTTTGCTTTTGCCGGCCAGGGGCTTCATCTCTGAGTCCTCCAATTGTCTGTAATCCTTTCGACGGCTGCCCGCTGCCCCCCACCTGGTCGAGGCCAGAGCTGGAGAGATGGACCTCGAGGCCGCCTTAACCCGCTGTAGGGTCGTCATGTCGGGGCTGGCCTCGACTTACTGAGATTACTGGGGGATGATCTCAGATCAGTCTAAGGCTTTGCTGGGAAGTTATTTGTTCATTTGCTTGCTTGCTTTTGTCAGGACGCGGGGATATAAAAACCGGTACGTGAAGGTGCCAGATGGCCATTTCTGGATAGAGGGCGACCACCATGGCCACAGCCTGGACAGCAACAGCTTTGGGCCGGTAAGTGACACCCCCAGCCCCATTACTTAACCCTTTGGGATTATGCCCCAGCCCTTCTCAGCCCAGTCCCTCCCCAAATAGTCCACATTTTTGCTCCCTCCCAGCTCCCAGTACACCTGTACCAGGTATTCTTGGTGTTTCGGGTTTCCTGGGGAACAGGGCTGTGCCACAACCACCTGTACCAGGTATTCTTGGTGTTTCGGGTTTCCTGGGGAACAGGGCTGTGCCACAACCACCTGTACCAGGTATGCTTGGTGTTTCGGGTTTCCTGGGGAACAGTGCTGTGCCACAACCACCTGTACCAGGTATTCTTGGTGTTTTGGGTTTCCTGGGGAACAGTGCTGTGCCAGAACTTCGTGTTCTTCGCATTGTTGACACACCAAGGTAACGTAATACATTCATAAACTAAAAGAATTGCTTCAACCTTGGGTTCCTGCCCTGTTAAAGGCAACAACAGGTTCATAATCAGTTCAGGTTGTACTTAATTTATCATCTGCTTCCTTTGCTGGTCAAGCGACGCATGGCATGACACACTGGCATGACACATTGGCATTTCAGGAGCCAGTTAACGTGGGGGGGGGGGGGGGGTGACAAGCAGTCCCTAGATGAAAACATCCCTCCAGATGGAGACTCTCTGCCATTCGCCGGGACCTAACAGCATATGTGGCACTTAATCCAATGGGAAGGTGGGCATCTACATGACATAAGTTTAGATATTTCACTGATGGTCTAGCTGAACCTGTCCCTGCATTCCTCTGAGCATGCGGCCAAGTTCTGTCTCATCTTAGCACCCGTGTATTTGTCCTGTGTTGCTGCACAAGCATAACAGTGTGAGTTCATGAAAGGTCTGCATTACAGAAGGTGCAAATCGGCAACAAACGCACGCAAAGTGTCCTTTGGTCTATCTTGGCGGTCGACTGAGTGTTTGTCCATGCAACTGGAACTGGGTCATATAGCAGGGTGGCATTTTTTCTTAATCCCAGCCAAGATCCATCCTGAAGAGCTTTCATTAGTCAAAGATAATGGCTAACAGAAGAAGCTGCTTGGCTCCAGCATCCACCACAGGGTGGGAATTCTATTCCGTATTGAAATCCTTAAACCCAGTACTTGACATTTAACATATTTTTTTTTCCCGAAATGCCAGTTACTAAGTGCCTGGATAATTATTTCCTTCTCTCTGTGCTTCATCACTGACTATAACGCTTCAACAAACCCACCATTTGAACCCGTATCAGTCCTGGATAAAGACTTTAATTCGCCCGGCCGGCACATAGATCGCCCAGCTGACTTTGGGAGGCGATCAGCCACACATGTGGTCGCTTTGTTTAACATTTGCATAAACCGACTGCTGGGGGGGGATGGGGGGTGCAGGGGTACCTCCGCAGTCCAGTTTTCAATTTAAATTGGCTCCTTCACTGAAGTGCTCCAGCAATGCCGGCCAAAGCGCCAGTAATTAAGAGATGGTAAATAATTCATGATGCGGATCATGGAGTGCACACATCTGAGCATCCCGAAGTCTTTGTTAGCCGGCGGAGGCAGGCCCGGCGTGCACGTTTAGTTTGCGGGGTAATGTATGCTTCAGGCTCACTCATTAGCAAAGGCCAGTTTTATATCTGCAGTTTATTAACATGAGGCTGACACAAGTGACAAGATAGCTGTTCTGATTGTGTCCCCCGCCCAGGGGTACTTAAAAAAATACAAGGCATGACATGTAAGTTTTTCATTATATTGATGCCCGAATTGTTAAAGAGCTGTATGGGAATTTAATACCTTAACCCTGATGAGTCAGAGGCCAGGACCGTGTTTGTGTGTGTCTGTGTCTTTGTCTCTGTGTGTCTGTGTCTTTGTCTGTGTGTGTCTGTGTCTGTGTCTTTGTCTGTGTGTGTCTGTGTCTTTGTCTGTGTGTGTCTGTGTCTGTGTCTTTGTCTGTGCGTGTCTGTGTCTTCGTCTGTGTGTGTCTTTGTCTGTGTGTGTCTGTGTCTGTGTGTATCTGTGTCTTTGTCTGTGCGTGTCTGTGTCTTTGTCTGTGCGTGTCTGTGTCTTCGTCTGTGTGTGTCTGTGCCTTTGTCTGTGTGTGTCTGTGTGTATCTGTGTCTGTGTCTTTGTCTGTGCGTGTCTGTGTCTTCGTCAGTGTGTGTCTTTGTCTGTGTGTGTCTGTGTGTATCTGTGTCTGTGTCTTTATCTGTGTGTGTCTTTGTCTGTGTGTATCTGTGTCTGTGTCTTTGTCTGTGCGTGTCTGTGTCTTTGTCTGTGTGTGTCTGTGTCTTTGTCTGTGTGTGTCTGTGTCTTTGTCTGTCTGTGTCTGTGTCTGTGTCCGTGTGTGTGGGGCATATAAAACCTGTTGATGTTGTGAGGACCACTTTTTTAGTCTCCACAAGGGAAAACTCTTGTATTTTGTATGGGTACCTGTGGTTAAGGCTCGGGCTGAGTAGGGGTTAAGATTGCCATTGCTGGGATTAGAGCTTTTCCCATAGAAATGAATGGAGAGTCCCCACAAAGATATGAGTACACACACGTGTGTGTGTGTGTGTGTGTGTGTCAGGAAGAAGCCCACCAGAGCAAACAATCATGGCTGTGTTTGTCACTATGCCTTCATCGTCATAAATGTGTCATAACAGCTGATGATAATGGCCTGAACACTTTGACAGCTGTCATAACACCCAGGACGACAACGGCAGCCTCACTGTGTCGTCCCATGATTCTCATTCCCCTCCCCTTTTGAAAATGCGGGCATAAACATCACATCATTTCCTTCTCCAGAGACTTGGCTAGCCAGGTGCATGATTCCCGGCATCTCCCCACCGGCCACCGGGGGCGCCGGGGCAGGGATACAGATGGACAGCTAGAGCCGCCAATAGAATATAGATAAATATGTATCATCTGCCCAGAACCTTTTATTATTTTTATTTTTAGCTGGATTTCACGGCTGAGTGCGGTCTGGTGGACGTACTGTAACTGGGATGGTCCCGTAAAGACTCAGTGCTCTAAATGCATTATTCATATGAGTGAGGCTCTGCCGCTCCATCTGCCTGTCAGGGGTCCCACTGGTAACGTGAGGGCCCCTCAAACAAGGGCCCCTCAAATGGGCCGAGTTCCGGAACTGGGATAATGGTAAAACTGGACTCACTGTCTTAATTTGGTGCAGATGTCCATTTTACATTCGACTTTTTCTTGTGCAGATAAAATAATTTGAACTTAATCTTCAGCCTGGGCTGTTTTCAGAGATGGGTGCTTAATTAAACTCACTAGCACTTCAAGGCAGACGAAAAAGCCAGTGTGATCCCAAGTGACCGTTTTGTCTGTGCGGCAGCAAGGTGTGAAAAACACACACACACACACACACACACACAGATGGGATCAAGACTGTGCATGAACATGGACGTGAAAGTGGGCATGAATGCAGGTGTGAGCATGCAGAACACAGGAGCTCCAATGATGTGGAAGCCATGCAAGGCGTGACACGCAGAGCAGGATCGTGCTGTGGTCTCCAACACGCTCTTCTCTCAAACATCTTCCAAGCCAAACGTCTTCCCCGAAAAAGTGATCCTGCCAGCCTTCCAGGTCACTGTCTATTATTGTAACACATCCATTATCCCAAACAGTCTTGGGACTCTCCAGGGAGACGGAGAGATTGAAAGATGTGTGTGAGAGTCAGATACTAAAGGAAGTGTCGGGTTTGTTGGATTTTAAACTCTCTCTGGGATTTTAAACTGTGTGTGTGTGTGTGTGTGTCACTGTCATGCAGTCAGTGTGACTGTCTACATCTGTCCCTCTGTGGATCGATCTCGCATCACCTTAAACAGCACCTAATAACAAACATTCATTTTGACCTTAATTGCAGTGACACACATTCATCGCTTTGAGTGAAATATGCAACATGAGCTTTTAACTACTTTTAATTCAGGTGACTTGAAAGATGTACATCACCACAGCTGGGTATTCTGATGGCTGACAGCTGGGTAGTTATTATGCTGAATCTAAGGGAAGCTGGTCCTGTTTACCTCTGAGCAGAGACAGGCCCCCTTAGCCAGAGGATTCGTAATTTCACTGTTTGTATTCTGTTTGGGGAAGTGACCAGAATGATCTTTTTTTTGTAAATTGTTACCATAATCTCAAAAATGTTCACGGTGCCCATACAGCGCCCCTTATTTCCAAGTCCTGTGATTTTGTGTGTTTCAGGCACACATGCATACACACCTTCCTCTCCCCTGAAAGGCCTGGACACAGACTCTCCTCGTGAGCCTACAGTTCAGGGTGCAGCAGTGAAAATAAGTTTCCAGGCCGTTCGTTTTTACCCTTTGGCATTTCAAGGATGTTGAAGCCGCGGCTGTCTGCTGCGTGAAAGGCCGGCCCTCTGCCTCTGCTGTGCAATGATCCTCCAGCTTCAGTGCTGCATTATGGGATACATGCTGGCCTGCACCCATGGCATGTTCCCATTTGATCTCTGTACTGGTGCTTATGAGGAGACGGAAACGGGGCCAGCAAAGCGTCCTTTTGGTGGCGCCGTGTGTCGGAGAAGCACAAGGCTTCATCCTGGCCCTTCCTGCTCCCATTAAGCACGCCGATGAGTACCTGCTGTGCAGGATGATGTCATCACCTGCAGTAATCGCACCTTATCAGGGGGTGGCTTTGAACAGACTGGGGACTGACCTTCCCTTCCCAGCAAAACCAGTGCATCTGCCTGACACGTTCCCGGGGGAGCCAGGAGTTTCACCATTCCTTTTGGGCATTATGTCCTGATTATGCTGGAAAACAGCAGCACATTACCCCGGAAAAACTGGTGCAACACGAGGGTCTTCTAAGTGGAACGAAAGGTATGATGAAATCCTGCTTCTTAATGGCGGTTCTGCATCATACAGGAATACAACCTCTGTTTAATTAAGAGATTATCTAATCTTCATTTTATTACATGGGTATGAAATGCCACAAAAAAGAAAAAAAATCTTTATTAATTTAAAGAAAATAACTGATTTTACTTCAATCTAATTTGTTCCATTTACAAATAAAATTACATAAGATGAAATAGGTAGCTTATGAAATGAAGTAAATGAGATTAGATTAGTCCAGTTTGTCTGTAATTTGATTTAAAAGCTTTGTTTCAGTGTCATAATGCTTCCATGCCGCTGATTCACATGCTGATGAGATCTTTTTCTATTTCTTTCTTTCTTTCTTTCTTTCTTTCTTTCTTTCTTTCTTTCTTTCTTTCTTTCTTCCATCCTTCCATTCTTAGCACAGGTACCACGATTCCATGACTGCCTGCCATGTGACCACTTCTCCATGCTCTTCTCTGGGATCCCTCAGCTGTGGGGTGTCCCCATCCCTTCACGTGAGGCTTCTCCATGCTCTTCTCTTGGATCCCTCAGCTGTGGGGTGTCCCCATCCCTTCACGTGACGCTTCTCCATGCTCTTCTCTGGGATCCCTCAGCTGTGGGGTGTCCCCATCCCTTCACGTGA